TTGGTTGTACCCTGAGTAAGTATCCATGAAGCTGAGAAGGGCTTGGCCGGCTGTGGCGTCAACTAGCTGGTCAATGCGGGGTAGGGGAAAACTATCCTTTGGGCAGGCTCGGTTGAGATTTGTGTAGTCTACGCACATGCGCCAACCCTTCCTTGGTTTACGTACCATTACCACATTGGCTAGCCAAGTGGGATAATCCACCTCCTTGATGAATCCAATGGTGCTCAGCTTATCCACCTCCGCCTTCATGGCCTCATACCGCTCTGGGTCATAAGCACGACGCTTCTGCCAAACGGGTCGGACGGCAGGATTAATGCTTAGCCTATGGAGATGACGTCAGGTGATATGCCCGGCATATCGTTGTAAGACCAAGCAAAGACTTCAGAGTTGAGGCGGAGGAAGGCAACAAGATCAGAGCGAAGCTCTTGTGAGAGGGAGGTGCCGATCCTGACCTGTCGATCCGGGATATTCTCATGGAGAGTGACCAATTCGAGGTCCTCCACAGGTTCGGCCTGTTGGGTGGCAGATTCCTTCCTGGGGTCCTCTGGGCGTTCAGTGCCAGCTCGAGGTGGGGCTAGGGCCTGGGTTACCGCTAGGGCCTCACCCCTATGTTGGCGATTAGTAGACTTTACTACCGAAGCATAGCAACTTCGGGCGCCAAGTTGATCACCGCGCACAGTGCCCGTGCCATGGGGGGTAGGAAATTTCAACAGTAACATATGTGTGGAAATGAAAACCTTCATCTGGGCCATGGCAGGGCGTCCCAGGATAAAGTTGTAGGCTGTAGGGCAGTCAATGATAAGGAAGGGAGTGGTGATCGTCTTCCTCTGGGGTGCTGCTCCAATAGAGATAGGGAGATGAATGCTCCCGATAGGCTGGACCACATCACCCGAAAAGCTCACCAGGGGTGTGACGCTTCGGTCAAGCAAATGAGACGGGACCTGGAGCTCATTGAAGGCATCAGCAAACATCACACTGACTGAGCTGCCGGTGTCTACCAATATGCGCCCAACGTCAAAGTTAGATATGTCGGCGCGGATAATGATTGGGTCATCATGAGGGAGGATAACGCCGCGCTCCTCCTCCTCGCAGAAGGTAATGGAGTCCCAGCCTGTTTTTTGTGTCTTCGGCAAGCGTCCCTGCTCAGTGCTGAAGACCTGGTGCGCATAGGTAGAGCGGACATAATGTTTGATGGAGTTGTTGGAGGTGCCAGCCATGGTTGGGCCACCACTAATGGTTGAGATCATGTTGATCTGCCGTTGGTGAGGGTTAGGTGGGAGGTTGTGCACGTATTTATCCAGCTTCCCCTCGCGAATAAGTCCCTCAATGATGTTGCGCAAGGCAACACAAGATTCGGTATCATGGCCACCGAACTGATGAAAGCGACAGAAGACTCCTGTGTTAGGCATAGGCTTGCTGCCTGGTCTCCGGGGTGGAGGCTGAGGTATGATAGGTGCCTCGTGGACTAGGACATTCTCATAGGTAGTGTTGAGGGTGGTGAAGACCTCGAACCTGGGTTTGGGTGAAAATGGGAGTGGGGCCCGGTCACTTGTCCTGGAAGGGTTGCTTCCACTAGACTGGTGGTGGTTCCCATGTTTGCCCCGCTTGTTATTGTTGAAGGTATGCTGGTAGCTATCCTTCCTCTTGGGGTGCTAGGCATCCTGGGTGCTTGGTGGAGGGGCAGAATGTTGGGGTGGAGCTGGGATGGGTACCGAAGCAGGTGGAGGATCAGCAAAAGGATTATGTGCCGGGATGGCTAGGCTACGCTTAGAGTTGAAGTACTCAGCCTTAGCATGAACTGCTGCCTGCTTCATCAGCTCGGCGTATGTGTTCCAAGGGTTGCTGTGGACCAGGTACCGGAAGTTAGACTCTCGGAGGCCACTCTTGAAAGCACTGAAGGCAGCACGATCATCAGTATCTGGGCAGCGGGAGTATTCGTGGCTGAACCTGGCTGCGTACTCCCGAAGGGGTTCGTCTTCACCCTGTCTAAGCATGTATAGGTCGTCCGCGGAGTAGAGGCGATCGGTTTGGATCATGAAATGGTCCAGGAAGGCCTGCTTCAGACTGTCAAATGTGTTGATGGTGCGAGGGTTCAGCCTGTAAAACCAGTTCAGGGCCGCGCCGCTGAGAGTGGAAGGGAAGATGAGACACATGCCTTCGTCAGTGAGGCCCTTGCACCCCAGGGCAGACTGGAAAGAATGTATGTGGGTGAGAGGATCCTCCGTGCCAGTGTAGAAGGCGATGCGGAGTGGCTGGATGTCCTTCTCCTGGTGGTAATTAAGGATGCGTTCGGTAAAGGGCCCAGGTCGTGGCTTTGCCCAGAGAGGTTGGTGGTTGCGCTGATGTTCGCTCTCCAGACGCCGGACTTTCTCGAAGAGAAGCCTCATTGCCGGGTCGGTATGAGGGAGAATCTCGGGTGCTGGAGGTCCGGTGTGTGGGTGGCCATGGGCCGGGTAGAATTCTTCGAACGTCTCAGTGTGATAAGACTCGTAGTCGTCTGAGTAATCCTGTCCCCAATTCTCCGAGTCCCCTATACCTTCTCCAAGAGGTAGTTGGGTAGGCTTTGGCGGAGGGCCCAGGTGTGTCATCTTTGGGTCTTGGAGATTAACAGAGATAAGATGGGGTTCCGTTTGACGGTCCAGGATACGGTCCCTACAATCCCTGTAGACCTTTGTTGGTTCATGAGGCCGGTTCCTTGGTGGGGAGATGTGGAAAAGTCGCGACTTGGTCGTTTCCGGATAGAGGGGGCCCTTACCCTTGCTGGGCCTAGGCTGGGTTGGGACATTGTGGTGGGAGTGCTCCGGCTGATTTGGCTGTGTTACCTCAGGGACATGGGTTGGGGTGCTGGGCCTAGGCTGGGTTGGGACATTGTGGTGGGAGTGCTCCGGCTGATTTGGCTGTGTACGCTCAGGTACCTGGGTAGGGCTGCGTTGGGAGCCTTGGGTCTGATTCATCTCCCAGTTACTCTTCAGTGTGCGGTAGTCATGTTCGAGCTCGACGTTCTTAGCATGAAGATGGTCATATTTCTCAGACATCCTGGTGACACTGGCGCGGAGGCTCTCCAGTTCTGCCTGGAGATTGGCATCTGCTGAAGGTCTTCTCTGGGAGGTACCCCCATGGGGGATATGGTGCTGAGTCCCCTGGCTATCCTCAGTAGGCATAGCTGAGTGTGGAGTGAAGAAGAGGCGACGGGGCCGGATAGGAGAAGGAGCCAGCTGGGCTGGTAGAGAAAAAATGGGATTCAAGTATCGATTCTCACAGACGGCGCCAAACTGTTGATGCTTTTTTCCGGAGAAGGTCAACTTAGAGAAAAAAGGGATTTGCCTTCAGCAGGGAAAGGGTCTGGGCCTTCAATAAGGGCTAGCCTGCAGAAGACAAAAATAGGGGAAAGCAGTCGTCAAGCTCCGGGCACCGGTGTGGTACCGGCCGAAGGCTCTCCGATGCCTAAGTCAGCTAAGAAGGGTAACTTTTGCAGAGTAATAGTAAAAGGCAGAAAAATCGTTCCTCTCTTACTAGGGTACTGTTCCCTTCTTATAGGGAAGTGAAAGTGGGAGGTTGGTGTAGATTTCCGATGTGGGACTCTGTGCAAGTCGCCGCGGTGGTGACACGTGTCATGAGAATTAGGTTTAACAGTCTGTGAGCTTTGGCAGTCGGGAGTTTCGGCAGGTGCTTGGCACCTCAGAAGAGTGTCTTCCTTCGGCAGGAGAGAAGGCGTGTCTGCCTTGGTGCTAGTTGTTTTGAGACTGGATATGCTCGGTTGATTATGGTGTAAACAAAAGTAGTTTTCCATCAGACGGCTGTTCCCATAACTCCACTCTCGACTTGGATTATATATCCAAAAAGGTCCGCTCTCGGCCATTCGACATGCTGCCTAGCAGAGGAGTGGTTATCTAAAGTGGATTCTCTTGTTTCTAGTAGATGCCAAACCTGCTGCCCCATTGACTAAGAAGGGGGGGCGCAGCAGCTACATGGACCCCTTCCTTTCTGTTGTTGCCAGCGCTTTCCCGAGCCGAGCTAGAATTTTTTTTTTAAGGGCAGGCAAAGCCCGAAGGCTGCTATCCCAATAGGCCAGCGGGTGGAATGAGGAGAGGGCCCGACAATCATACTACCGCGGTCGAAAAAGCGTGTTCCCCTCAGATAATACGCACCATGGGCCATCCTCGGCCTTCTTCATTTTCGATGAAAAACAAATAAATTCTCTCTCTCCAAAAGCGTTTTCCTTCCCCCTCCCTTCGTCGAGCCTTTCCTTTAATGGTTGGGGAAAGCATTCCCTTATATGAACTTGGCGGGGATTCCGCCTTAGTAAAAAAAATATATAAAAAATAGGGTGGCCTAACTGTGTATACACAACCTTGGAAAGGTTCGAAAGACATTTTGGTACCTTCACAAAGGATGAGACAGTCTCAAAAGTACCATGGTCTACAGTTGGTCAAACTTCTTGTTTTTGGTCAATTGGGCCGGCGGGGCCCACAACCTAGGATTTCCGATCCGAAAGTTCCTACGGGTTCAACAAAGTTTACTAAACACCTCCTGCAAGTTTGGTCCAGATCGAGTGGTCGGATCGCTCTCGATGGCACGATTGGAGTATTCGGGACACAAATTCTAGATTGGTGAGTTCCTACACGATCCTAGAGGTACCTAGATCAACATGCTTGGAAATGGAGCTAATCCAACGGTCTGAACATATCGATCCCGGATATCGCCTAATATGCGTAAATCCTTTTCATTGTCAAACGATAACCAAATTCAAATCCGAGCATACCGTCATGCTCGGGATGACATGAGGAATATTTTAGGACAAAATGGGACACCACCCCATGGCCCAAGTGCTGACAGCGCGTGTGTGTCTTGAGAAAATTCCGGCGACTGGAAAATTATCAAAACACCCAACAATACCTATACCTACGTGATCAGGACAACTAGGGGAGCAATTTATAAAACCTCAAAAGTGATCTACAATACCTACATAAATGGATAGAGCATGAAGAGTAGATGAAGTTTCATACCTCACTTGACGAGAACCATTGTCGGAATCGCCTGAAAATGCAAGAACACCGCCGGAAAAACCTAACCCTTTTTCAGCTTCAAATTGAGCTCATTGTCAACGAATCAGATCAGGTCTTGGGTGGGTTTTGTAGAGGAGGACAAGGGGAAGAGATTTCATGAAGCTTGCTGTGCCACTGTCACGTCGAGAAGAATGAAAAAAACCAGAAAATCTAGTTATATCGCAAGGAAGAAGAAGGGAAATAGGAGAACCTGGCAATGTAGCATCAGTACTATAGCTACCTTTATGTGTGTGTTACAACTCAAAATTGAGCGTGCCACTTGTCTACAAACTCATAAAAGTGAGCCCTACGAAACGGTGCCACTCAATTCCCGAAAATCCTGTCGGATCAAAAAGTGACCAAAGTGCCCCACCCCTGAAAGAATTAAATTGCATTAAATCGATTAAATTGGGAAAGTATATGTGGATCGACAAATTTGGTAGTCGGAATCATTGGAAACGACGTCAGAGGTTTCAAGTGAAAACATGCCCTTTTTTTGAGTTTTCCGCGAACTAGGCTGCAGGCTGCGGCGGGGTAGGGGTGAGGCGGGAAAAGGACGGTGCACTCGACATTTTGGTACCGACCCCGTCAATTTTGGTGGCCGGAGGTGGTGGTTTCCACCAAAACATGGCCGGCTGTAACAGGGAGGGTTTAATTGGACTATGACCTAATTTCCTCTATAATTGTTGGCTTGGCATTGGTGAAATGTAATTGCTATAAGCCTTATCATAAAATTATCTCTTATAAACCTTATTGACATAACTCATTGGGCTCCTCTGTTTCCTTGATATTGCAGCCATGGCTTGGCAACATGGGATGCCACATAGATCCCATTTTCTACAAGAGCAAGAGTGAGTTTTTAGATCAACTGCATATTGCCTACCAAGCATATGGGTGTATAGCCTATTGACATAACTCATTCAGGATCTTGATGGTGCGTTTAGATGAATTACATATTGCGCACCAAGCATATTGATGTAACTCATTCAAGATCTTGATGATGAAGAGGAGGAAAAAGCTGTTGTGGTGTATAGCCTTACACCAGCTTCCAGGTTTCTCCTCAAGGAAGGTCTATTAAGCACCACACAATTTTTACTTATGATTCTTGATCCAATAGTGACAGATCCATTTCATCTCATGGGCATTTGGTGCCAGATGAACAATCATGGAAATCATGATCATCCGGCTTCCCCATTTGAGATGGCACATGGAAGGCCTTTTTGGGGTTCGGTTGCTCACCAACCAAAGTTCGGTAGCTTGTTTAATGAAGCAATGGAGGCTGACTCCCAGCTGCTAGCAAGGGCAGTGGTTGAAGAGTGTGAAGAAATTTTTGAGGGTTTGAATTCCTTGGTTGATGTTGGAGG